TCATTTGAGGACTGAAGGCCTCCTCTCCTTCCATCTTATCCTGGGGCCCGCCTGTCTCATTCCCCAGCCTGTTTCTTGCCCAGCCCTTGGATGGACAAGGCCGCAGAGAGGCTCCCAAGCTTGCTGAGCTCCCCTGACGAGTGGCTTTGGGTTCTAGGTCACACACAGGCTGCAGTAAGGAGTTCAACCGGCCGGACAAGCTGAAGGCCCACATCCTCTCTCATTCCGGTAAGCAGCTTGTTTGTGGGCCTGTCAGGAAGGGTCGGGTGTGGCCCAGGCCCCTGGAGACGGGTCTGCCGAGAGGAGAGTTCTGCTTGGCGTACTCTAGCCAGGAGGCTTGCACGAGCTCCTGTGGACCATGAGTCCTCAGGGAGGGCAGAGGGGAATCAGACAGTCCTCCAGGCTGAGGAGGGTAGACCTGGGAAGACACAACTCACTCCTCTGGTAGAGCTCTGTGGGGAGGGGTGGTCAGATATGGAGTGAGGACGGGCTGCCCAGGCTCAGAACATGACCAGGAAGTTCCTTGGTCCTCCTGTAGGACAGTGCGGGTGCAGGGCAGAGGAGGGGCTCTCCAAGTCTCTGTGGGTCCCAGGGGTTCCACCAGAGCAGGCTGACTGGCTCCCACATGTTACTCTGTCTCCACTGTGGCGCGCTTGCTCCCTGGGTTAGAGGTGCCGTGCTGGGCTCCCCCAGGCACTGGAGGGTACTCACTGAGTCTCTGACCCCCTCCCACCCGCTGCTAGTAGCACTGTCCAAAATATGTCTACGGACATTGCCAGATGACCTTAAGGTGGGGGTGGGGTGGAGTGGGGGTGCACAGATTCAGTGACTTAACAATTGGAACACTGGGAGAGTAAACCGAGGGCTTGAGACAGAGGGTGTGGGTTTGCATCCTGGGGCAGTCACTGTCCTGCCGGGTAGCCTCAGGCAGGTTACTTGCCCTCTCTGAGCCTCCAGGGGATGGGGGACAGGGGCCGAAGGTGCCTGGCCTGACCTCTTGGTAGCTGTGGAGGACAGTGATCCCTTCAATGAGATCTGACCTGGAGCCTGGCCATGCCCCGGAATCACATGGGCAGAGCCTCCCCCACCCTGCCCTCTTGGGGGAGCTTAGCATTTAGTGGGGGAGATGGAAAATAAACAAGGAACAAAGACATAACGGGTGATGGAAATGAATGTGGTGATGGGGCAGAGAATGTAAAGGGGCTGTCCGGGGCTGCTTCCCAAAGGTGCCATGAGAGCCGAGTCCTGAGAGATGAGACCACCGAATCCCACCTGCCTGTAGGACAGAGGACAGCTGCTCCTGTGGGTGTCAGAGGCTAGTTCTTCAAGGGAACAGAGCACCTGGTGGAGCCGAGCCACTGACCGTATGGGCATCGGGACAGTGTAAAATCCACCGCAGCACCAGGCTCCCCGTGGGATTGGAAGAGCCCAGGAAATAGCGTGAAGCCTTGAGACAGGGAAGGATGGGGGCACTTGAGAGTGAAGGACAGGACACAGGGCCTGCACCACAATGAACAGGGTGTGTGTGGGGGGCGGGGGCGAGCAGGGGCAGGGGGAAGGATGGAGAATTGGACCCCATGGGAAGCCCCTGGAGGATTTGAAGCCAGGAGCTCTCTGATCAATTTACATGGACACAGCCCTCTCGGCTGGCCTGGGGGTAGGAAGGCAGCGGACCCCAGAGGAGCCTGCCTCTCTGGCTGTGCTGGAGGGCCACCGTCGGGCTGGTGACGTTATTGACGGCTTGGGAGTTGAGAGTCGTCTTCTAGGCGGTCAGTGCCAGGTCCAGAGCTGGTGTGGCTGGTTGTAGGGAAAGGGGTCCCATGGGACTGGGGAGGGAGCGAGTGCTGGCAGGGCAGGGCGGGAGACTGGATTTTAGTTCAGGGGCACACGCCCCCATTGCGGGTGCCCCGTCAGTGGTCCCCCCCCCACCCCCTCCCAGGCATGAAGCTCCACCAGTGCGCCCTGTGTAGCAAGTCCTTCAGCCGCCGCGCCCACCTCGCCGAGCACCAGCGCGCCCACACTGGCAACTACAAGTTCCGCTGCGCCGGCTGCGCCAAGGGCTTCTCCCGCCACAAGTACCTCAAGGAGCACCGCTGCCGCCTTGGCCCCCCGAAGGACAAGGACCTGCAAGCCCGGAGGCCTGCGCGGAGGAGGGCGAGCGCCCGTGTAGGCGGCAGCGGCGAGTGCAAGATGGACGCGCCCCTGCCTGACCCACTGGGGCTGGGGGAGCTGAAGGACGCAGGAGCTGCGGCAGTGCCCGAGGCCGCGACGGGCAAGCCACCCTTTGCCGAGCCGGATGCCGTGCTGTCCATCGTGGTGGGCGGCGAGCCCGAGCTGGTGGTCCCCGGGCATGCTGAGGGGCTGGGCTCCAACCTGGCCCTGGCAGAGCTGCAGGCGGGGGCCGAGGGCCCTTGTGCCATGCTGGCGGTGCCCGTCTACATCCAGGCCTCTGAGTGATGGGCCTGTGGCTGACCTGATGCTTGGGGTGGGGCCGGCACCTCCGGAGGACACCGGAGATGTCCATTCCGCTGGAAGCAGAAATCCTGGGGGAATATGGATAAGCCCTGGGTTGGCCTGCTGAGAGCCCCACCGCATCGTGGGAAGTGGGGTGGGGCTGCCCATGAGGAGGATGGCGAGAGATGGCCGGAGCCCGAGCAGCTCAGGGTCTGGCTGGTCCAGCCCGGGGGACGGCAGCCAGAGAGAGGAGGTGGACCTTCCCACCCACCCGGCTGCCTGTACGCGTATTGGTCTTTTTAGACGCCCGATGGGGCCGGAGCCCCTATCTTGGGGACCTTTTTAACCCGTGATTCCTCACGGCATCCTCCAGACCCCTGTGGCATGCGCGTTTCGGAGGCACCCAAGTGCAAGCAGCAGCCCCCATCAGACGTCCCACCCCAAGTGTTGCCACTTTTCTCTTGAGTCCTGCGTTCCTCCGGCGTGGACTGGGGCTTCGGAGCCCTACCTCACAGTCTGTCACGGGGATCCAGACTCATGAAATGTGTCAAGGGTTTGGCATGATGCCTGACAACTGGGAAAGCGCTCAATAAATGCGTAGATCACAGTCCCGTGTCCCTGGGGTTCCCGCCCGAGCCCCGGCAGTTTCTCTCCCGGCCCCTGGGTGGCAGCACTGCTCCCCTGCAAAGCTGGGCCTCGACCACCCACCCGCCTGCCCGTCTCTTCTGCTGTGCTTCCAACAGGGTTGCTCCAGAACGGGGTCCAGGGAAATCCAGGGGATGGGGGCTTATGCTCGCTTTGGAAACTCAGGATCAGAGAATTCCCAGAGTCGGAAGTTCCTCTGGAGTATGCCGCAAGATAACCCTAATGCTGGACAAGTCCAGCATTCCCTGCTTGGCAGTGGGATGGCTAAGACCCCCACCCATCCCCACCTCCCACGCCTCCACGTGGAGGAGCAAACCAGGCTCCGTGGATACAGGAAGGGAAACGCCTGCCTTGACGGTGTGACCTCATTGCACCTTTCCCACCCCCCTGAGCCAGCCATCTCTGGCTGGTGGGACACAGCCGCGCTGCCAGGCTCCGGAGCCTGTGAAGGCTGGCCCTCCCTTCGATCTCTGTGCTGGGGCCCAGGGCTGGAACACGGAGCCCAGCCCGACCTTTTGGAGGGTGTGAGGCACTGGTACCCAGCTGATGGGGGTGCGGGCTGTAAGTGGACCTGGCCCTCACAAGGGCCAGAGGAGGTGCTGGTGAGAGGTGGGGAAAGCTCCTCAGAGAAGGTGACATTTGAGCTGGGCCTCCACACACAGTTCTTTCATGGATGGATAAACTGGACAGATAAAAAAAGGTTGCGTTCCACTCAACCCATTCTTGGGGCTGCGACCTGTTAGAGCCAAATCATTAGGTCTTTCTTCGGAGGTGCTTCCTGGCCGACTACAACCGCCAGCCTTTCAGTTTGTAGTCAAGTGTTTAATCAGGGACTCCACCAGACAAACAGGGAGGCATCTCTGGTAGGAAGGAGCAAAGTATAGGCAAAAGCTCTTGAAAGCCCGTCATTTCCCTGGCTGTGATGTTAGCTATAGTCCACGGTCCAGGATGCCCAGGGAGTTGGGGATACAAATGAATGATGATAGTCGCTTCTATTCTTCAAGCTTCTGGTAGGTGGTCTTTTATGTCATATTGCCTCAGCCCTGCCAAAACTCAAAACTTGCTACCATTGAGTTGATGCCAACTGAGCACCCCTATGGGCTAGGGAAGAGCTGCCCCCGTGCACTTCTGAGACCACCTACTAGGGGAGTGAAACGCCTCGTCTTTCCCCTGGTAGGCTGCTGGTGGTCAAGAACTGCCGCTGCTGGTGGTCGAGAACTGCCGCTCCTGAAGTTAGTAGCTCAACTTGTAACCCACTCGCCACCAGGGCTCCCTGCCAGGTGAGTACTTTACTTTTCATGTTTTACCAATAAGATTCCAGAGGCACAGAGCAGCCAAGGGCCTTGCCAGAGCTCACACAGCTAAAAAGTGGCTTCCTCTTGGCCTCCATGTACTTTTCGCCTCTGCGCGGTATTGAAATGTGGGTTGATCCTGAATCAGAGCTTTGGATATTGGGCGAAGGATCCTGGACTTCATTCTCCATAACACAGAGCATTTAAAAATTATAACAAACACATTAAAGGAAATGTTAAAAAAACCCAAACTGTGCCTTGGCTTCCTACCAAACACAAGAGACAAATTCAAGATGGCGGCTTAAGGACCTAAATGTACACCTAAAATAATAAAATTCTTGTAAAAAACCCAGAAAACCTTTATTGTAAATTGGGTGAAGGTTTACAGAGCAAATCAATATTTTTATTCAACAATTCATATACATTTTGTTCATACACATTGCAGTTGTCATTTATTTTCATACCCACAGTATGACATCTCTAATTTCCCTTCCTCTGGTGTTTCCTCCTTCCACTCTTTTCTGACCCCTCTGAGCTTTGTCCTTGGGCTAATGCTGCTCTGTTGATAGCCAATGGTAAATGGTTGATGACTGGAAAGAGTCCTGCCTCCTCGGTGTTGTGGTTTACCTTCTAGAACTGTCTGTTTTGGGGCTGACAATGGAGGCAAGTTCAGTTACACACCTAAAGGGTCGCTAAGGGGCCACAGTTTCCTGGAGTTCCACTAGCCTCTCTCCAACTCGTAAGCCTCGTCTCTTTATGGCTTGACGTTTTGCTTCATATTTCCCCCCACTCTATTCAGGATCTTCCAATGTGATCCCTTTCGGAGCAGCCGGTAGTGGTCGCCGGGCACCATCTGATTCTAGTCTCCGAGTTGTGGAAGCCGAGGTTTGTGCGGCCCATTCGTGCATTGCACTCATCGTAAAACCACAAACTTCTTAGAAAATGCACAGGCTGTGCTGCAGCTGAGTCCAGCTTTCAACAATGAAATATATAATTGTGAAAACACAAACTGCAAACGACAGTAATTAATTAAATAGAACTTCCTAAAATTAAATTTTTTTTGTTTTGCTTATTAAAAGGCTTTATCAGGGCCAGATTTTGAAGTCCAACATTGGTTACGGAGCAACAAGAAAACCAAGCACATGCTGCCCAGTGGCTTCCGCAACTTCTTGGTCCACAACGTCAAGGAGCTGGAAGTGCTGCTGATGCGCAACAAGTCCTACCGTGCAGAGGTCGCTCACAACGTTTCCTCCAAGAATCGCAAAGCCATTGTAGAAAGAGCATCCCAACTGGCCATCAGAGTCACCAACCCCAAAGCCAGGCTGCACAGCAAAGAAAATGGATAGATGGCCCAGAAGAGCTAGATGGTGCCACGCTACCACTGCTGATTACTTGAAAAGGATCACAAAAGGGACCTGAGTAGAGTGCGAGCACAAAGTGGAACAAGACCCCAAACGAAAAACAGACTCGGCTTACTGCCCTGATGGCGACTCGGAATCCCGACGGTGGCCCTTAGCAACTCTCCACTCCCGGAACTGTCCTCTGTCCTCTGACTCAACTTTCAGCCAAAACTATACAGGCTGGCGGGGAAGAGAACATCCGAGAGGTAGACACTCCTCAGAATAACCGGGCACACAAAATCAAAAGGACGGCATTGGCTAGTGGATGAAACCCTTGAAAGCAGGAAGGGACTGGAAAGAAGGATAATAATGGAAAACACAGGGAAGGCGGAAGTGGGAAGAGTGCTGGTGCATCTCGGGGACTGCAATCAATGTGTGAATTGTTGAATGGAAAACCAATTTACTCTAAAACTTTAAATCATAATAAAAAAATTTTGAAAAAAAAAACCATGAAAAGGCAACCTACTGACTAGGCCTATATCCTCAGAAAATTATACTCAGTAAGAATCTAATAACCCACAATGGGACTGACAGTTCCAGGGGGACATGGGAGAGGGGGAGGAGGGGGGAAGGGAAGAAGAGGGGATAACAAACCCAG